GGGAGAGCTACGAAGATGGTTAGGGGTCAACGCACCTTTCCTTATGCAACCCGCCTGGTAAATCTGAACATTCTTCCTTTGAGTAACAGGCGACTTCGCGGAGATCTCTTACAAGCATTCCGCATTGCAGTCTGGCCTTCAAGGACTTTTTTGAATTTGATACCACGACCAACCCCAAGGTCACCCGTTAAAACTGCGAACTCAGCAGGCAAGGCTAGATGTGCGGAAGTTCTCCTTCTCTGGTCGAGTGGACAAACCATGGAATGCCCTTCCCGCAGACGTTGTGATGTCACCATCAATACAAAGTTTTAAAAAGAATCTTGACATATTTATGTTTCGAAATAACCAAAAGCGATGAGAAGTAGAGCTCACCCCCTGTAACTCGTTCCCATTTTGTCCTACCATCATGGGCTTGTTTAAACTATTTCAGCCCAGAACATTTATCTGTATACCACACATTTGTTTTTACGCTGCAAATAGGGCACTCAAAAGCTTACGCCTATTTCCCTCAGTAAACTGAACCGAACTGAATACCCATTTGTAATCTACTAAACTATAAAGGCTCAAGGCCTGTAAGCCGGCGGCGTTCATGGTAAGACAAATTCCGGTGTTTCAGGGTCAAGGCTCTCCTAGTAAGAGATGTAGAACATTTCAATTTTCATTCCCTCAGCAGGACGCATGAGACTAAATAAAAAGGAACACTATTCCAGGCCAGGTCCCTACTATAAGCAACATGACGCGCTTGAAGTTCTCACGGTGCGTTAAAAACCCCGACTTGGAAGTTTGCCGACTGAAAGGATAAGTTGGGCCTCGCAATCGGCACATTGTTGTGTATTTGTGTGGAACGATCGACTGGCGGTCTAAAGGTCAGGTTGCAATGGTTCCTTCCCAGTGTGACCTTTATGGTCCTTCCACTCTGTGGGATCCGAGCCATACATCCTCGTCGTTGGTTAGAATCCTGGTCGTTTGATATGTGGACCAAGGGTGTGGAGTGGAGCGCCGAGGTGCGGCCCCTGATAAGGGGCTGTCAGAAACAACCTAGGGGGCGTTGGTTCGGTCCCATTTAGAGTATGCTGTTCAGGCCGGGAGACTGTGGTTCAAGAAGGATTATCAACAGTCGAAAGGAGTACAGGCGATGACAACGAAAATGGTCAATATTCTTGATCATCTGGCTTATAAAACCAGACTTGTTGAACTAAATCTCTTCCCTCGCAATTACAGGCAACTGCGTGGCAATGTCATTTTAGCCTACCAGATTGCCAGAGACCGTGAGCCTGTCATAGAATTCGACAAATTCTTCAAATTGGTTGGGACAAACCGTCTGCGTGATCTTCCCTTGAAGATGCAGGGGAAACTGGACCACACATAGGTCCGACCGAACGCATTCTCTCAGAGGGTCGTCGGGGCATGGGACGGACTCCCTGATGCAGTGGTTCTTTTCTCCGCTGGATCCTTTAAACGCAGATCAGACACTCGTTTGCTGAGGAAGGAGTACGTTAGTGGGGGAAGTTTGCGCGTAGCTCACACATACCGACATGAATAGCGAGCTTAAGAGCGAAAGCTTCATTTCTTTAATCAACTGACTTAAAATAAATGACAACCGAATGCCAAAAGTCTAATTGCAAGGGACCGACCATAATAACTTTGAAACTTATTTTGCCGACTAGATTTTCCTCTCCCAAATCGGGCTCGTATGTCCCCGTCCACATGTCGAGTGAAACATGGACCAGACAAGATGACCTAGAGCCCCATATAAAGGAGAAGACCACAAAGTAGGTGATTGTTGCCACCATATCTCCTGAGAATGCGATTCGTTGTTCCTGAACATTAGCATATTAGGCATAAACGCTAAAAGTTTACGCACCTAAAGCGACAAAATATTTCGTATGACGTATGCGTGTCGCAGTTTCACGGTTTGTAATGCCCTTCCTTGTGTGTGCTTTTAATTTCAGCCATTGGAGACAGTTTTCATAACTATATTTAGTATTACGGTTTAAATATCAATATTATATTCTTAACCATCTTAAACATTTTCAAACATGAACAATTTCGACCTTGATGGCAATAGTTACCGTTTACAAAAAACTTCGTTGTAGCCTTAGCGTGCACACGGTCTCCGTGCGCGTTGTGCGTCAGTTTGCTGTGGTCATTTTTGGTATACTTAGCTATTTCTTGGTGAATCTGGTGAACGGGTGTTCAAAACAGTATCTTTTCCAAAATCCATGCCATCCCATTCTTCACTGATTCGTTTTAAGACAGCCACATTTTCAGTCGTAAATGCTAATATATTAGCAATAGCAATTGAGCTTGCTTAGGCTTGGAAGTGGTCAGGTCTGGGCTTAATTCGAGTTCGACCGGTCGAACTAGAACCGAGCTCGAGGAGTCGGATCTAATGTCTCCTTTGAAATAGTGGTCTGGCCTCTCCTCACTTTTCCCTACACCACAAC